GGGAGCAGCTTAGATGGGCCCAGTGCAAGTCTGGAGGGCCAGAAAACCCCACTAAATGTTACTGACTCAGCCCTGTTCATTCATAACGATGGGTGGGCTTGGCATCATTCCCCTATGTCTCCTCCCCATCATAGCTTCCCTTTTTTATCCTTTTCTGATGGAACTTTGCATCTTTTTCCATGTGAAGAAACAATAATTTAAACAATAGCATCATCATCAACAACACTGAATCATTTTAGAGTGTTACTAAATGCAAACCACTGGGCCAAGCCTTAAATGCTGTATCTCATTTAATTCTCACAGTGACTGTATGAGCTCCATACTGATATCCATCCCACTCTCCAGATAAGAAAACTGAGCCCTAGAAAGGTGAGGTCATTTTCCCGAGTTCAGCACCAGTAAGTGACAGACTAAGATTTGAACCCAGGTCTGTCTGATGCCAGGGACAAAGCTTTTTGTGAAAATTATACATCAGTGTAAAGGTACAGGAACTGTGTCTTCCTTTGAAAGAGCCCTCCAGATTTCGGACTTGGTTTGAACGACAAGACCAAAATCACTAACTGCCCCCAAAGAGAACCTACATCAGCTTTGCAGAGGTCAAAATAACTCTGAAGCCTTTGGAAGTATTTATAGATGTTTGTAAGTAGTAAAGGACTAGCAGAAGCAAATTGGTTTTGTGAAGAGGGCACTGGATTCACATCCGAGTTCTATCTCTTAGTAATAGTGGAACCTCAGGACATTTGCTCTGCCTCTCTTAACCTCAGTTAAGCATGTTACCAAAGCATGGGTAAAAATAACTGCCTCAGACCTGGGGTTGGTGAATTTGGTGGATTTGCCAGCACAATGCCATAAACTATCACCTTCCCCTAAAACTTTTCTGGTGAACACATTCTGATGAACACATTGTTCTATGGAAAGGCAATTGGTCACAATAACTTCTAAACAAAGAATAAAGAAATAAATAAATACTGATCATTTCCTTAGTGAGCATCCTAAGTCTGAAAATAATATAAAACAATTTTCAAAAAATTATGACAATTTATGTATATGGACCTGTGTGAAGTACAGTATCTCTCTGAACCCATCTGGACAATTTTACACACTCCTCTCTCCCTCCCCACCCTCTTCGTCCATCCCTCTCTCCAGTCTCTCTCTCTCTCACACACACAACACGAATTGAATCCTTATGCAGTTATCTCCCTCTTTCTCAAACATGTGCCTAACACTTGTTCAGATAATAGATATCTATTCTCCAGCTGTTAATTTGAACAATAAAAAACATGAGGATTTTATAGAGATAAGGCACCCCAGAGAATCGAAGACACTGGTAGCTACTTATTGAGTGACAGAGAGTTTTGTGATTAACAAGTAGAAGACAGCAGACAAAGTCTCCTCTGTGTTCACCACTTGGTTGTCTCCAAGGTAGGTGGAGCCCAGCCTCTTGTAACACCAAATTTCACATTGCTTTTTATGAGCAGAGGGTCCATTTCTACATTGCACCTCTGGATTTAAAAGAGGAAATTTAAACCTCAGAATAATGTTTTTTTGCTGAACAAAACGTATGCCAAACTAAGCTCTGACCGACTTCTGGTTTTCCGAGTCCCAGCCTCCAAAGTTTTCTCAGGTTTCCAGCACTGAGGTGAACTCACTAGCCTGTGCCTTTTCCTCCTGTGCTACAGGATTAGGTGGAAAAGGGGCGAGAGGTAGGAGCACCACCTCCCCGGGTGCCCAAAAGATCAAGAACTGCTCTAGATTCATATCTGGATGTGGCTGGCTCCCATCAGCTATACTTTGGGGAGGGCACCAACATGGTTTCCTGGGCATTCTGGGAAAAATAATTCCAGCAAGAAGGGGCAAAATCATACAAAATAGCAATAAGTCTGGGCCTGCCTTCCTTCCTCAGCCCCATAAGAGGCCAGTTTGTAAGGTAGGGAAAAGCCAGGACAATACCCCAGTTTCTCAGTTTCCCCCTTTGAATACAGGAACTGAAGTTTTTGACCCACACACTCAAAAATGGTATCTATCACCAGCTAACAGATTATTCTTGGACCATGACTCTTCCTGGCAAGATGCTCCAGTCTGAGCAGATGAGGATAAATGAGAATAAAATTATCCACTTCTGTTTGCTGTGGCCTCTGTGCCACTGTCATCCTCAAAATTCCCACAGAAATGAGCTCATTCCACCTTTGAAACTTTTCGGAGCTTAAAAGTTTAAACCAGGCCAAGTTGATTTTGTGGGGTTTTTGAAGCTTTTACACTGTAATTACATACAGGACTTTGTGCCACCTATTTCCTCCCAACTGTAACATTTTACGTCTTTTTTAAGCATACATTGAGGTTAGCGTTTTTTTAGTAGATGTTATGAAATAAGATAGGTGCTTGTGCTCAGCTTAGGTACATTTCTGCCAAGAGACTGGACCAACACAAACTAAATATGACTATTTTCTTTATCCAAAGTACAGTTTTGATTATTACATACCCTCTTAATGTACATACATTAAACTAGCTCACAACTAAAGCTCCCTACAGGTCAACTGAAATCATAACGAGATTTTCCTTTCATATAATGTGATTAACAAATGTTAGCTAACTGAACTCCTGAAAGACTCAAAAGAAAAAAATAACTCAAGCAATGCCAAAAGGTAAAATAACTCAACAACTTTCCTATTTTTTTCCTTGCTTTTCACATCTTTACACAAATAGTTTCATGTGACTATACGCATGTGCTCTACGAGTCAGATGAAACCGAGAGTGAGTTCTAGCTCTGTTATTTACTAATACATAATCTTCATAAGCTACTCAACTCCTCTAGCCTCAGTGTCCTCACCTGGAAAATGGGGGTAAAAGCCCTCACACGATTTTTGTGAAGATTAAATAAAATGATGCAGGCTCAGGGTAAATGTCAACAAAGTGTTTCATAAATGTTAGTTGCTATTGCTGATATTTTCTATCTGCAATGAGTCCCTGGGAAAATTGTAAGAACAAATACTTAACACAGAGAGAAGTGGTCGTCCGTGTATTCTTACTTAATTTTAACAAGTCATTACAATGTTTGGGAAGCAATAATTACCAGTGTTTTGGTCCCATAATCCTAAAGCCCTGCAAAGGTCACAATAACTATCACTAATGAAACAGCTCTGAGGCATCTTCTATAGACCAAGTGAGTCAGATTGCCAGCATCAAGTTACTTGTTTAGAAGGGATTTCTGAGAGTATTCACTCAAAGCAAATATCTCCAAATGTTACCTAAAGATGTAAAGGACCCTATGACTCTTCTAAACTTAATCAACACTTTTCTGGAATATCATTCCCACTTGAATTCCAATTTATGCATCTTTTTAGATTCATTCTTCACCATCAAAATGTCAGGCCTCTAACACCCATCTTACTATCAGTGAGACTGCGCTCTCAGAGAAGGGCACTATTTTCCACCCAGGCGGGAGCACTGAAAGAGAGGAATGCTGCATGGAGAATTTTTCATCATGTTATTTGGGAACAGTTTGCAAAACCCAAATTATGTATTTAAACTTTTTCAACAGTAATAGTGCAGAAGAGAAAAACAGCATTTTCATATGTGGTGCTCCAAGCACATTTAAATAATACTAGATCAGGGTAATTTCCTCTGAAATCTTAAGAGATTATGATAAAATAATTCACTCATATTATATGGATAAATGAAGAAGGAAGATCCTACAACCCCCCCACACCCCACACACACACATGCACATTATATTGTATTTGTAATTACACAACTGAGTCAAAATTTAAACTCAAAGCTTCTTTTCAACAGGTCTTTTAGTGAAAGATCATCAATTAACATGGCAACTCATAAACACAAATTCTAAAGAGCCTCTCTCTCTCTTAGCTTTCTTTTATTAAGGCAGCAATTTTTATCTCAAGAAATATAATGCGCTTTTTACTTCTGTTCCTGTGGACTTCTTCAGTCTTTAGAACCTGATAATCATTTGATACAGGCATTCACCTTCACTCATTTATCATTTTGCAACATTGACCTCATCTCTTGTCAGGAAAAAGTTTGGGTAGTTTAAACCCAGATGGCTTGGCTTTCACCTAAATGGAGAAGAATCCCTTCTCTAGTTCCATACAGCATGTTGATTTGATAAGTAGCAGTCATCTATCACTTTTCGGCTTTGCATTTGACTGCTTTAATGTATTTCCAACAGGCTTTTGTGATGTGTAGTTTCTAATCAAGGTTTGCCAAGAGTGATTGGCATGTAAAACTCTCTTAAGCAAAAATGCTGCTTTTTCTGAGTCTATATTTCATCTCAGAAATTCTTATTCATATGATTTAATCTCCCCCAGGTGGTTTCTTATTAAATCTTATCATTAACTATTAAGCTAAAATAAATTGAAACAAATTTTTTTGCATCTACCAGCCACTGCCAGTGTTGAATAAGCAGCTGACCACCAAGTGTCATTCTCTATTAAGGATAGAATGTCCTTCCTGACTCACACTTCCAAATCAGAAATATAAAAACTGTTTTGGAGAATGGAGGGTTCTTTAGGCCAAGAAATCCAAGATTACATCTTGTCCTCATGTTTGTTCTCTGTGACTGTCACCTCTCTTTCCCCTCGTCACATACCTTATTCCTGTTCTTTATACCTAAATGTTATCTCATCATTTCCCCACTAAGGTAAGACTACAGAATCAAAGCAGAAAATTTGGTGGCACTTTTGATTCAGTGGCAGTAGAAACATACAGCACAAACAGTGATTACCACTAAGACAATGCCATACAAAGTCCATCTTCCATTTACTTCTGTAATGATGATGTCAAAGATAAGAACTCCCAGTCCTATGAAACAGAAATTGCCAAAGTCCACAAATCTCAGATATTCAACTAAATTCCATTCACCAGCTACGTATAGCTTTGTAACGACTAAAAACAGTTTTTAAAATTTGGTTACATTATTATCTTTAGTGGATTCACCTTGACAGAGGGAGTAACTGACTTCACTGTTACCTGATCTCCATACTTACCAAGCAGACACACATTATACAAGGGTTGTCCGTGATAAATGGAATCTGGAGGACTTCACCTTCATTTTCACATTTTGCAACAGAACCTGAAGTGAAGGAAAAAAAGTTTAACTTAACCTTATCTTGGTGACATATTGTGAAAATTTAAATTTTTACACTAATCCTTCTTGAAGCAATGACTCAAATTTCAGAAATTCTTAATGAGTTTCAAGTTAATAAACTCATCAAAAACAAATTTCCCCCCCTAAATTTTTTTTTTTTTTTTTTTAATTTTTTTTTAAAAAAAAAAAGGCACTGTGATATATAGATTTTTTGCTCTCACATGATTAAGCACAATTCCAAGTACTTCACTGGAATATGTACTCCTTTCTGAAAGCATTTCAACTAAACTCACTCCCAAATACAAAAAAAAATTTTAATTTTAAATTTGAGCAAATTCAGGACTGTGTCAATGAACAGGCCTTTATATGATTTTGCCTCATATTGTCTTGAGCTAAGATGACTTTTTGAATTACAATCTTCTTTCCCCTTCTCTTATAAATTGATTCAATATTTGCTTTTCTGCACCAGGTGTCAGTAAAGTATGTCCTTCAGAATAGCAGCTGAGGTCTTCACCTGCCTGAAAGCATATAATTATTATAACCTGTTATTATTGCCCTTTTAAAATATGATAGTTTCTTTGAATTCAAGGTCTGGAGAGCGGGTGCTTTAAAAAGCACTTCTAGCACAGAAGCTATATTGGAATCCTACAGCGTAAGAAAGAAGGATGTGTGGAAAACGGTGGAAATTTCTTCCTTAATTATTCAGGAGGAGACTCTTCTTATCAAAATAGGTGAGGAAAACATTTTTTTAATTCCAAAATTCAAACAGAATTTCTATTATCACTATATTAATGTCGACAGCCTTTCAAGCCCTCCATCCCTTAACCTACTCACTGCCTTCCCACCCCTTACGCGGGCTTCGCTTCATCCTCATCGGCCAGCGAGAGGCAGGCGCCAAGGTGCTCGTTCCCCACCCTCCAGTACGCGGAGCAAACCAGCGCCTCCTCTCCCAGGTACCTAGCCAGCGTCCGGGAGGGCCTGTCCCTCCCTCCCCCTCCCCTACCTGTCAAGAAGGAGGAAGCCAGAGACATGGGGACCCCCGAGCAATTGAGCAGCAGCAAGACGCAGCAGGTAATCCCGGGCGAGCGCCGGCAGGGACGCTCAGCCAGAGCCCTGACGCCGGAGAACCAGAGCATCGTCACCTGGAGGGAATCCCGGGCGACTGCAGGTCCCGCGCCGCCGCCTCTGCTCCGCTACCGCCGCTTGCAGTCAAAAAGGGCTCTCAGCCGGGGAGTCGGGAGACAGTCCGCGAAGGAGGGAGGCGGGCGCCCGCACGCCGGGGGTGGGGGCTGGGGGGACG